TCCCGATATAAGCCACAGGCTTCCCTTCACTAATAGCCCCCATCCTCTTAATACGTTTGCCTTGGTACTTCTATTTAGACTCTGGCTAATAAAGACAAGGTTTATAATAGTAGAATATTGTATTACTTATTTCTGGTTGGCAAGTACTATTTTGTAAAAAAAATTTTAAAGTTATTTTTAAATAATCATTTTGATTTATTTTGACAACCGTACCCGTTTTCTAGTTCTTCTTTAGCACACATTTCTCTTTGCTTTCTAACTCTTCTAACCTTAGTAGTATTTTAGAATCGTAGTGAGTAAGTAATTGTGTGTAAGTGGGTTGGAGTTTTATGTGCATAAAAATTCTAATATTGCTTATTTATTAAAAGTATACAATCTTTTTATCAACCGAATAGGTTTCAGTATATAACGATCTGGTTGTTTGACGTCTTATTGCCACAATTAGTTAAAACAAAAATTTATTTAGAAATTTCTTAGGACAGGACAGGACGTATGTTACAATAATTCTTAATCTGCATATTGTTTACTCTCTGAACTACGGATTAGGTACCTTTACTGTGCATATGCATGCTGTGCATGTAAATTTCTCTAACCAAGATACTGATGATAAACTATCCTTTCGAGAATAAATTTTATCTTTCCAAAGCTGAATATTTAGTTCCCAAACAATACTGAGAATCGACCTTATGCTGAGTATTGTGGGTTGATCCCCGCATGGGGCGGCACTTTGTGTGATCCACAAATTGTTGTTTTAAGTCTGGGTGTTCTTTGTGTCTGTTTCATGTATGTTTGTGAAGTCCCAGCGACACAGGATATATTACTAATGGGGAGTTGCCTTTTAAAAAAATATATGTTAGCGATAAGCGTATACATAAACATTTTTATCATGTTGTGCTCAATAGATAAAAAACTCCATAATGTTAAGATTATGCTCAAATATAGGAAACTGTTACTTACAAGCTCACCGTCTTGGTAAAATACAAACCCGCTGTTATGATAACATCGTACATAATAATCCTCTATCTCTTAATACCTTGGCTTTAAATTTTATCATATTATTACTAAGCGGCGGTAGCCTAGTGGTTAAGGCATTGGCTTTGCGATCAAGTGGTCGTGGGTTCGAATCCTGACCAGTACACTACCGACGTGAACCAACTCCTAACACAAGCAATTTAGCTTAGCTGGAGGGGTTAACTAGTAATTTCGGTTGCTAGTTAGCTTTAAAAAAAAATCATTATCATGTTCCAAAAAGTTAAGGACATGTTCAAGGTCGTGTTGTAGACTCCGTCTGTTACAACAAACGTTAACAATTGAGGAAAGATCGTCTCTTTAAATACCGAAATTTTAGTTCGAATAAAACAAATATTTGCAATGATAATAAAGCTGCTGATTTTTATAGCTATGTTTTTTAAATGTCTTCTTTAAACATTTTTTTTTTAAGTCGTTGAAATTGGGTTGAAAATTTTAATATTACTTTCGGAAATGATTATTTTTAAAGAGTATCTTCTTGGGGAAGAAATTTAAAATATTTTTATAAAACTGTTTGACGGCTTCACGTAACGGTCCTAAAATTTGACAAAACACTATAGATGCGAGACTACCTATGTGTGTAGTCTTAAGGCAAATTTGTGTTTTTCCTGTCCTGACTGATAAAAGCTATATTATCAATAATAATAATAATAATATATCTCTTTATTGTACACCAGGTATAAATATATAAAGATTAACTTAAGCTAGGTTGGACAGGTACAAATGGCGGCAATATCGCTCAGAGGCAATCTCTTACGAAATTAAATCACACTTAAATTAAAAGGCATTGGCTTTCAAGAGTTAACCTGGTACCATCAGTTACACTATGTTCGAACTAACCGAATTAGACATCATCACTACAGAATCATCGTAAGTTCACAGTCAAATTAAGCGTGTAGGTATACACACACATGCACACACACACACACTCACAAAGAAACATAGCCACGCACAGGGTGTGTGACTATGTGTCCTTTAGTGTGTGTACTTTATATGAACACGCATATTTCTTTCAAGTTTGTTTGATGCATGGCTACTTGCATGCTTTTACTGAGGTTCCAAATTACATAGTTACTACTTACTAGCACACATTTGATCTCATTTTTTACACTTTTTTTGTACTTAAAACTTTAATTAAACTGAATTGTGACTGAATTTAAAGGTTAGATTTTATTACGCGCGGAAAGTACAGTATTATTAATTTTGTTATATTCTAAAACAGTTAGAGAATACTGATAGGATAATCGTGAACAACTAATCATGATATAGCTATCATAGCACTTGAATGCAAGAATCCTTTGATAAAGATAACGATACCTGCAATAAATCAACGTAATTCCACTTAGTTTCTTATCACAGAGAAAAATTGCCAAGTGCGTGTTGGGTCACGTACAAAGTAAGTTTTAAATTTTTACTACCATTGTTTTTTTACTTGTTGAATCCCTGTCCGGTCGTCACCCCAATGGGGTTTGCGGCGGGGTGGTGTGTCGGAATCGGAACGACTGCCACTCTACAACTGTAATAGGAAGAATCCCTGCACTGCTGTTATTAAGATATTCGAACCCCTCCTAGCGCTCTCGAGCGCGGCACCACTTTCGAGTACATTCTCTATTTAGGCGACGTCCGGCACACACGGACGGCGCAAACTGCTTTAAGGGTAGAAATAAATCTACACCTTAAATTGTTTGGAACAAATCCTCTACTCAAGGCATGACACAGGCACGGCGAGAGGGAACCAAGCCATGGCAATAGACTGCTTACCAGATCAGACCTCCACAACCCAAGTAGGCGATATTAAAGTTCTGTGGAAAGACTGTTGTCGGACTTTGTAGGACCTGTAACGATGGCCACAGATGTTCGTATGGCAACCGGTGCTGATGGCTAAACGTGCTATCAAAGGCACGGAGGGGTCTCAATCATGTTGAGAAATTGTCACATAGACTGACCTGGCTATAGTAGGGGAGCCCTAGAATGAATTTTGAGTTGGGTTCCTCCACCAAACATGAGCCCTACATATTGGGGGATCGTCTAGGGCAGCCCCTAGTTAAAAAAAAATCGATGGCCAAAATACTGGAGCGTGTAAGATTAAGGTAAGTTGAGTCAATTACATGCCTATTTGAGCGTAACATAAAGCAGTTCCAAACAAAAACACATGACCAGTAAAAAAAAATTTGAAGCAAACAATGGAAGAAATCTTCTTTAAATCTATACTAATATTATAAAGCTGAAGAGTTTGTTTGTTTGTTTGTTTGTTTGAACGCGCTAATCTCAGGAACTACTGGTCCGATTTGAAAAATTCTTTCAGTGTTAGATAGCCCATTTATCGAGGAAGGCTATAGGCTATATATCATCACGCTAAGAGCAATAGGAGCGGAGCACCAATGAAGAATGTTTCAAAAACGGAGAAAATTTATTACTATTGAGAGACGCAGACGAAGTTGCGCGGGTCAGCTAGTGTTTACATAATTTGTCATGCTTTTATTTGTCACATTTTATAAAAAAATAAAAAAATAAAATATTTCAAACCGTCAGATTTAAAATACCCTTCAAAATCATCGTCAGATTTTTGGCTAGTAATGATGAAATGAAATGAAATGATATTTATTTCTGTAAGTAACAGGACAGGACAGGGACATCAAGCTGAACCGTCTGTATAAAAACTAGCACGCTCGGGTATTTCGAAATGGCTATTCTTCGATTGGCTCCTTGTTTTCCCCTTATAAAAACGTTCATTTATATAGGTACCTTTTGTAATGTGTACCTTTTGTAGTGTCATTTAAGTCCTTCCTAACCACAGAGTGGACTATAGATTCCAGATCCTAATCAAGGGCCTAAATAACACTATACAAGTGCAATAATATTAATTCGTAGTCGTGAGTAGTTTTTTCTTCATTCATTATTATCCTCAACAGCCTTTAATAGTCCACTGGTGGACTTAGGAATCTCATTAAAATTGAGATTTTGGCCCACTATACCACCCTGGCCAAATGGGTTGGATAGGGTTTGATTCATGTTTTCTTTCTCTTGCTTGCTTCCTTAGTCGGCTGTTATGACACCCAGCCACGGGATGAATAGGGACCCAATTTTAATTGATATATACATCATGGATTGTGAAAGCACCTCAGAAAAGAAAGTATCCAACTGTTGGCAATCACCATCAACACTCGATACAATAACATCAGCATAGATTTGCATGCACACCAGCAATTTTTATTGTTTTCTAGCGTCACACTCTACATAGATATAAATAATCTAGGATTTTTTCTTCAATACTACACAGGGAAGATTAAAGTTGACTTCCTAGATTTGCTTGACTAAAAGAGAAGCTATAAAATCGACTCATTAGTGACTCGTTTTAGTTCAACTAGTTAATATTAAATATTTTTGAATTATTTATTTATTAATTTCGTCTGACTGTATTTATGTACTGTATACTATAATAATTATATTCTAATAAACCTGAAATATATATTTTTATTAAACAGTCATTAACAGTCAACTGCTGGACATAGGTCTTTTCTTAGAAAAGGAGTTTTTGGCCAACTATACCACTCTTGCCAGACGGGTTTATATAGATTTCGTTTCAAGTTTTCCTTCTCTTTGCAGTGATGGTAGTCCTGCGTAGATTGCTCCCTTAGTCGGCTCTTGCAACACCCACCGGATGAATGCGGGTGGTGACACTCCGTATTCTTAGTCCGTCATCACACGGATTGTTAACACTTCTGCGCTATCCTTACATTAAGTTTAAGCGTTTTATATTAAGATAGTTTTGAAGTAAGGTCTCAATCAATTATATTATAAAAATACAATGTAACTTATGACTGGAGTATCGATCAAATAGTTTTTATTCTGGCATTCTATCATGCTTCCACAATATTTCAGACAAACCCAAACTGTCAAAAACGCAGTGATTAATATTCATAGTTCTGAACAAATTTCTGTATGTAATATGTTAAAAAAAGTGTTAAAATATGTCGAACTTAGTTAAAAAAGTGAAGGCATGGCGTGGTGTGTCCGACAGGCGTGAAGATCTATCACGGAGCCAGTACTCCTTGGTATCCAGCGGAGATCTGACTGCTGGCGCTCTGCAACTCTGGCTCGGGTTACCTGACGAGGTCAAGTACGATCCTGCGCTTGAACAGTTCAAGCAACATTACGAAAAAGAACATGGTGAGTTTGTGTTTATAGTTTTGTCATATTATTTAATTATAAAAATAAATTTATTCATGGAAAAAACATGCTTCGGAACAATTGAGCCGTCCTGACTGTAGTTAAATATTGAGAAAACTTGAAGCATATTGGGAAGATAGGTTATAAAAGAAGGCAAGACAAGGAGATAAACAATGCTGCGAGCAAGTCAGGATGCATACCTGATACTCGACCTAGGTAGCAGGTGAGGTCACTTGCTGGTCAATTCACGAAATAAATTTTCGTATTTTTTATTTAAAAAGTATTAAACATCCAACGTTGACTGCAATGTAATCGTATAGTATTGTGACCGAAAGTTGAATCAGTCTTAGAATTTCACTTTACTACGAGAATATATTTTATGTCAATTGTTGAGAGAAGTTCGGAACCGAAGTTGGATAGAGTTTTTAATACGTGAATTGACCTTCATAAATCTAAACATGCTATTGAATCATAACAATACCTAAAAAATAAGTATTTTTAGTAATATAATTAACTAGCTTTTGCCCGCGGCTCCGCCCACGTAATTGTCGTATAACGCGGTAAAAAGTAGCATATGTCTTTCCTCAATAATCAAAGTATCTCCATACCAAATTTCATGTCCGTATGGATTGAGGAGCCACTTCAGACTTTAAACGGATTTTAAACGGAAACCCATCTTTTATTTAGTAGGTGAGCAAATAATTTTGTAGGATAAATAGTGAAATTTGTAGTAAGATATATCCAAAGTTATATCAATTTAAAAATGGCTCTTTAATTTAAGCATCTCAATTGAGGATCCATCTGAAACACGGAAAGTATTTAATGATTTTTTTTTTAAATTTTGTATCATTTAGAAGTAATTGAGTATAGTACCTACTAAAAATCTGAATCCAGTACTGTTGATATTAAAAAATATACAATACTTTTAATGTGGCTCCTCAATCTATATTTAAGAGCGTAAATTGCCATGTTCAAAATTTATATTCCACTTCAAAAGCACTTAGTAGAAAGTGTGTTTGAATTTGTAGCGTCAGGAGAAAGTAGTAAAACTGAGTGGATTTAGTTAATAAATGCAATGTGCTCCTCAATCCTGACGTTCTGCATAGTAAATAATCGACTGTACCTACCTGAGATCACAACAGAAACAAAAACCAGAGACACTAACATTTAGTATATATGTCTACTAAATAAATATGTACAGATAAACGTTGTATATATTCGGTGTCTTAAAAAGAAATTACTTTTTGATATTCCTCATGAATTTACTATTTAGGGTGACCATGTCAAAATGTTTAGAACACGAGGACTAGTTTTTAAAATTTAATTTTCAACAAATCGACAGTCATCGAATTATAGGAATGTACAGAAATTCTTCAGTTATAACTATTTATTAATCAATTTGGACATAAGTTATACAATGAATTAATATTGGTTGGTTGGTGCTTTGACGAATTTTACATTAAGAAGCAAAGTCGTGGAAACTAAACATTTCATCCTTTGTGGGCAGTAACATGTATAGTAATCCCATGCCAGCGTCGCTCATTGCAGGAATAAATTCTATAACACCTATTATCATACTACCTACTACCACCTATTTTTGCCGCGTTTTGTATCGATAAGAATAATTAAATATAAAAGTAATAATTCAATACGTCTGCAATAACTATTTATCAGTGTGGAGATACTGACTCTTGTGCCGTGGTGTATAAACAAATATTAAATCCTACCCTAGGCCTAATCCTACCCTATCCTGGCAACTTAGTCAAAACTTCACAAGTGCCTTGCCGACGTGTGCGCTGTAAGAAAAGGAGAGAAATATAACAATAAGAATTGCATGAGTGGTCCTTCATACTTATTAATTGGTTGGTTTGTAGTCACGTGTGTTTCGGGGAAGTCCGTAAAAGTTGGGGTTCCCCGACACAGACAATAAGTAATAAAAAATGATAAATTTTGGTACACAATAGGTAGTATCTGATAGGTGAGTCATACATACATATATGCAGTACAGACAAATTATAATATTGTACCCAAAGTGCACAGCAGACGTTGTCCTTCGAATAGAAATTATACATACAACGTTTTTCTATAAACATGTATCTTAAATGTCTTTCATTTACTGTATGACTCGTATTTTATGTACACAAGTGTATATGTAAAAGTCTGTAGTGGCCTGGCTTAGAACGTTACCACAGCAGAGCAGGATGGGACAGTTGCCTCATCCTGGGTGGCGTAATCCTTTATAGTTATCGGATAACAAAATAAAAATAAGAACGATACGAATTACAATAAATAAAATAAGCGCTAAATACAAATTTACTCGTGTACTCGCAGCTGTACACGAGTAAATTTGCACGCACTCTACGCAGAGCGTATTTGGCCCATAGATAACGCCCCATCCCCTTACCAAACAAATTTCAAATCATACGATTCAATAACAATGATTTCAGTCCCATTTAATTTTTGAAGTAAAAATTTTTTGCGCACGCTTGACTTGGGGAGTAGGCTGGTGAATGCGTGACGAGAGCGTTACGAAAAGTGTGATCGGGCGAGGCGAACGGAAGTTGAGAGGGAGAAATAAGTTAGTGAAGATAGAAAGAGAGAGAGTTACGTTTCGTATATTACTGTAGGAGCAAGAGAGAGAGATGCGAGCTAGGGTTGCCAACTTTTTTTACAAGAAATAAAGTATATTCAGGTCTATGAAGAATATTAAACAGTATTTTAGAAAAATGAACAGTATTTTATCTATTTATTGTTTTAAATACACATTTTTTAGAACTTTTCGCACAACTTACTAATTTACAATCTTTCTTAAAAACTTCATACGCCTCATCACAATCATAACTGAAATTAAAATAAATGGGAGCTCATTTTTTATTAAATTAATAGATGCTCTATTTCTGTCCTCCCGCCACATAGCATTCATTACTGAAAAACTCTTTCAGTAAATGCTGAGAAATTTGTTAATTCTGAATATAAATCATCCATACCAATATTGAGTCTACCTATACAAATTTTGATTATCTATATTTTTCTCAAAATGATCAAATGTGACAGAAGACTTCAATGACAAACAGCTAATTAAAGAAAGCCAGTTAGTCTGACTGAAATCGAACCATTTCTCTAAATACAAATTAGCCTTATAAAAATTCAAATTCGTGCTTTGTTAATAAAAAGTATGAAGTTATTAATAGTTCTATTATAAACTTTTTGGGCAGACTCTGTAATAGTATTTAATACTTTTTTTGTTTCATGGCCAAAATACTTATCATTTTTCCTTTGAACTAGCTCAGTCTTTAAACCAGTCATAATGTTATAAACATCTAAGATAGTTACATTATTTCCTTCTAATTTTTTAAAGTGATTTGTTTATGGCTGCGCTACACTGAGCAGTGAGCGCCCTCTGACTAAATAAAAACAAATTTGTGTGAGCGTCTAATAACACATAATGTGTTAGCATTTTGATACTGAAAACAGTATTTTGTATACTTTTTTTTTGTTCAAAAGTAAAAAGTATAATTTAGTGAAAAACAGTATTATACTGTTTAAAACAGTATGGTTGGCAACCCTAGTGCGAGCACACATTTTTTTCTCTCTTTCTCTCATAGCCAAGAAGTTGTACTTCAGTCGTTGTCGTCGTTTTATCGTTGATTAATCCTTAAGAACCTTCTAAGTACTGACTGACTGAAAATGTCTGGAAGTCAAGTTTTAAATAGATTCATCTAGAATCACATCACCTAATGGTTCACTGGTAGAGAATACCTTGAGCATTAAGCCCGCCTACGCACCAGATGTACATAAAGTGTTTAAATAAACAAATTATTAAGACTTTAGGCACTATTTGATACCAATATAAACACTATCTAACTATCGCTTCAATCTGTGCAATATTTTTTGTCAATGTTCCAAGAATTGCGAGCACCTAGCTATTTTTAAAACCAGTCTGTACGTCTAAACAAGACTGGTATTCTTATAAACTCCATATCTATTATAGTTCTGTGTATCTGTTTGTACGAATGCTACTGGATAATCACTCATTCAATTTATATGCATAGATGTTTTTCGCTCGTTAAAACCAACATTATTATACTTATTTCACACTCTGATAATGTGTTTTTATGATAGTTTTTATTTATTTGACGACCGGATGGTGTAGTGGTTTGTGTAACGGACTGCTATTCCAGAGGTCGCGGGTTCGATTCCCGCTCAAGTCAAACATTTGTGTGCATGAACATTTAATGTTTGATTTGGTCTGGGTGTTTCTATGTATAATATGTATGTATTTACAAACAAAAAGTATATATGTATTTATATCAGTTGTCTAGTACCCATAGTACAAGCTCTGCTTAGTTTGGGACTAGATGGCGTTGTGTGTATGTTGTAGATATTATTATTATTATTATTTTTATTTTTTTATGTTAGAGAGGGCAGACGAGCAGACAGGTCACCTGATGGAAAGTGACCACTTCCACCCATGAACGTCTGCAACTCAGGAGTCACAAACGCATTGCCGGCCTTTTAAGAAGAAGTACGCTCTTTTCTTGAAGGTTTATTGGTCGTATCGGTTCGAAAATACCGCAGAAGATAACCCATAATGTGATAATTATGTACTATATCGTTCCAACTGACTTGTATGACGGCATGACGCGTCCTGATGGCGCCCAGGACTGCATGTATGCATGAATTATTCTATAAAATTATATGAATGTGTGTACAAGAATTAACGCGATATGAACGAAATAAGAAGTTAGGAGTTAAATATATCTCTAAAATTAATTCCACTTTTGGTCACCTGCTGTGACCAAGGCTAGTGCAACCTGTACATAACACGTAGCGCATTGGTAGACAACTACGGACCGAGTTTAATTGTTAAGGGTTTGATCCCCATATCGAACAACACTTTGTTTAATCCACAAATTGTTGTTCTAAGTCTGGGTGTTCGTTGTGTCCATTTCATGTATGTCTCTAAAGTCCCCAGCGACACAGGATATTTCCTAATGCGG